GTTAACACGAGAACCCTACCTAGGTTTTTGTTACCAGAGCTTCATTTACCGTGGCGCGAATCGGGCCTTGAGATGGTGTTCAATGCGGCTTCCCGGAAGGATCTAGAAAGTAGAACCCCTAATAGGAGGGTTCCGTTAAGGGCTCCTAAAAGGGATCTATAGGGCTTTAGGGGGTTTATGAGAGTTTAGGGTTTAGGATCTAGAAAGTAGAACCCCCAATTTAGGACCCTATACTACTAAGGGCTCTTTATACTATAGGAACCCCCATTAAGGGATCTACTTTTTGGATCCCTTTTGGGGGTGTGGGTTCATGGTGTGAAATACAGCATGAGGGATATTTAGGAGTTTTACTGGCTCTGGAGTGCTATACATCTTTACATGTTGTTGGATTTCGTTCCCTTCTATGAGCATTGTGTCCCTGAAGGTTGCAACCAAAACCCATTCGCATGATTGTGTTGGGGACCTTCTGAAGCCGTACTTTCTGGGTACTTGGACCAATATAGGGGCCTTCATAGTTGCAAATACCATTGAGGGGTTCCTTATTATAATTATTGTAAAACATACCTCAAAACCCTATTGTAATTATTAACGCCTCTACATTATAGATCCCTTTTAAAGGAAGCCTAAACCCTAAACCCTGTTCTAATCATTAAGGCCCCTGCATCATCTGGGTTTGCAGATCGAAGGTTGGGAGGAGAACCATGGCTCTAGGCTTGGGCTCTGGAAGCAACCCCCGTGTACCAGTGTACCCAAACCCCCTCAACCCCCCATCCTACCCAGACCCCCGGGAGGATCCAAAAAGTAGATCCCTGAATGGGGGTTCCTATAAAGAGCCTTTAGTAGTATAGGGTCCCAAATTAGGGTTCTACTTTCTAGATCCTTTAGGGGGTCTGGGTAGACCCTCTACCCTAAACTAAAAACCCAAAAACCCTGAACCCTAACACAACCCTTGACCATCCTGAACTAAACCCGAAACCCCCAGCCCTATTTCCCTGAATCCCCCAACCCTGAATCCCTAAACCCTAACCCCTCAAACCCCAGACCTGAACCCCCAAACCCTGAATCCCTGAACCCTAAACCCCTAACGCCGAACCAAAAACCTCAAATCCTACGCGCTACTATACCCAGGCCCTACTTGGAGGTTCATGGGTAGTTATAAGTAGGGTAACTATAGTAATAACCTATATTAGGGGACTTATAACTCCACTTATAACTACCCATGAACCTCCAAGTACAAATTAGGCTCATGTTAGTTTCTTAATCAGGTTCCTACGCGCTACACCCTAAACCCTGAACCCGAAGGTTACAAGTATGGGCCCCTAATATGGACCCTTAGGCCTTTTTAGGGACCCTTAAGGGTACATATAGGGTATATAGTAGTGTATAAGGATCCCAGGCTTAAGGGTCCATGGGTTCAACCTTAGACCTATTATGATGTAAGGTATATTCCTGAATTAAGGGATGTTGGATCATCCGGGTCATAGGTTCTGGAGGACTGTACTTTGTTTCTTGTGTTGGACCTGTTCCTTAGTCGCTTCACTGCCTAGTTTAAGGCTTTTGGGTAGGTTTTTGGTTTTTGTTTTCGTTGGTATGTGGTTTAAGCTTCTGGAATCGTGAAAGATAGAAGTGTTGCAGAAACCCAAAACGCAAAACCCCGCGCCTTCTGAGGGGAGTAGAGATTTGAGAGAGAACACCAACAAAATGCATCATGTCTCTATATGGCTTAGGGCAGCTTGTTTCTCTGCGCTCCATGTTTACATCCTGAAAGGTGTCGGGGTTTGGTAACTTGGATTCTGCTGTTCAGCAGTTCGACCCAACCCTCCGAAAACAGCAGATCTTGCACCTTAAACCCTAAGCCTTACAGTGCAGCCCCGCTGGTAACCCAGACCCCCGGGAGGATCCAAAAAGCAGATCCCTTAATGGGGGGGGGTCCTATAACGAGCCCTTAGTAGTATAGGGTCCCAAATTCAAAGTTCTACTTTCTAGATCCTTCCGGGGGTCTGGGAACTTATGTGCTAAAGCCCCCCGATCCTTCGATACATGCTGAGCCCTTAGATCCTTTTGAAAGATGATAATTCTTGATAACAGCCTGAGAAGGGCTCTCAAACCTTTGTAAGCCCTCATGAGCCTCGATCATAACAGCCTGTAGACCATCTTGACAACCCGTGTAAACCAAATAAAAAGCCTTACGAAACCCCCCTGTACGAGCCTGTAAATCCACTGTACACGTTTGCAAATCCTGTGGGAGGATCCAAACAGTTGGACCCCTCAAGTGGCTTCCCATACTCTCTTTGATGGTAGAGCTTCCCAAATTAAGGGCTCTACTTTCTAGATACTCCTGGGATTCTGGCTAAGGGTTCCTCTACAGGTTCCTTTTCGGATTCCTTCAACGGTTCGTTCCGGGTTTGTTTAAGGGTTCTACAGGAGTCGTTGAACAAACCCTTCGGCCCTAAACCCTAAACCCTAAGCCCTAAACCCTAAACCCTAAACCCTAAACCCTAAACCCTAAACCGTCCGTATGAACCCCAAAAACCGGGCCCCAATCATTCCTGGGCCTGGTTGTTCCCAAGACCCAGACCCCCGGGAGGATCCAAGAAGTAGATCCCTAAAGGGGGGGGGGTCCTTTAAAGTCAGGGTTTAGGGTTTAGGGTTTAGGGGTTTAAAGTAACCCTTAGTCGTATAGGGTCCCCAATTAGGGGTTCTACCTTTTAGATCGTACCGGGGGTCTGGGAATCGAGACAAAAAAACTCTTGTGCGAAGCATGGAAGGAAGCATACGAAAGACAGAAGCTGTTGAAGTGGCGAGATCCCGTCGTTCGCGTGATGCAAGCAGCGAAAAGCCTGTTTGTGAATCTTTGCTCCGCTGCTACAAAGCTTCTTGGGGAACTCCACACGCGGGACCCCCAACTGCCTTTTAACAGAGCCCATATGGTTCTTAATTGCAGGGTGTTTTGGGGTAGACTGGGGGGCAGCCGGGGGGTTTTGAGTAGCCCGCAAACTCCAAACCTTCAACCTAAACCCTTAACCCTAAAACCCTGCACCCTAAAACCCTAAACCCTAAACCCTAAACCCTAAACCCCTAAACCCCTAAACCCTAAACCCTAAAACCCTGAAGAGAACCGCTGAGGCGACTCCGACGGGTCCTCAACGCCTATGCCAGCGAAGAGCTGAGATCCGGATTTGCCGCTTCCCAGACCCCCGGAAGGATCCAAAAAGTAGATCCCTTAATGGGGGTTTCTACAAAGAGCCTTTAGTAGTATAGGGTCCCAAATAAGGGGATCCACTTTCTAGATCCTCCCGGGGGTCTAGATTGAAGGGTTCGTTTGGAGGCTCGGGGGTAGGCTTAGTAAGGTTAAGGGAATTTAGGGCTTAGGGTTTAGGGGTTTAGGGGTTTAGGGGTTTAGGGTTTCGGGTTTAGGGTTTAGGGTTATAGAGTTGCCGCTTGAAGGGTTCGTTTGGAGGCTCCGGGGGGCTTTGTAAGTGGTTTAGGGTTTAGGGTTTTGGGGTTTGGGGGTTTTGGGGTTTTGGGTTTGGGGGTTTAGGGGTTTGGGTTCGTTTGAAGGCTCCGGGGGGCTTAGTAACCTAGACCCCCGGGAGGATCCAAAAAGGTAGATCCCTTAATGGGGGTTTCTATAAAACGGACTTTAGTAGTGTAGGGTCCCAAATTAGGGGTTCTACTTTCTAGATCCATCCGGGGGTCTGGGTAAGTAGTTGTATTTAGGGTTTAGGGTTATATGTATCGTAACCCCAAGTAGGATCCTTTCCTAGACCCCCGGAAGGATCTAGAAAGTAGAACCCCGAATTTGGGAGCCTATACTACTAAAGGGTCTTGAAAGGGACCCCCCTTAAGGGATCTACTTTTTGGATCTTCCCGGGGGTTTGGGATTTTAGGGTATGAGATAAATAAACGTAACATACCATACAATACACGTCATGGTGGCGTATGGTTTGGGCATATGGATTACTGTGCTTTCTGGGGACCCTATTTAAGTGGGTTTACTGTGGGGCTGTAGGGCTCTTTCCGGTTTAGGTCTTAGGGGTCAGGGGTTGAGGGTTTGGGGTTGAGGGAGAAGGGTTCTTTAGAGTTTAGGCCTCTTCAGGGTTTATGGTTGAGGCCTTCGTGTCTCGAACTGCCGGAAGCGCGAGGTGCAAGTGCACCTGCAAAGCTCTGGTTCGAGTGCAACTGCGACACCAGATTCAATTCCGTGTTTACCCAGGCCCCTGGGAGGATCCAGAAACTAGATCCCTTTCTATGGGAGTGCCTCTAAAATAGCCTTTAGTAGTATAGGGTCCCAAAGTATGGATTCTACTTTCTAGACGTCCAGGGGTATGGATGACGTGCCATTTCAGCAGCGTGCCTCAATGCCTGTATAGCCTTTGCGCCTTCAAACGAAAGAGTAGATCAGGGGATCTGCTCCTCAGATCCTCCCGGGGATCTGGGTCGTGTTCCCCCGTAGACCCCGATAAACGCCTATGAAAGGACCCGTCTCCAAAGTAAGATGCATTGCTCACTTGATGTAGGGGTCAGAGTACTTGAGATACCACTCCTTACCCTGACAGAACCGTTTGGAAAACCGTTACCCTTGGACTTTTAAGGAATCCTTCCTAAACCCTTAAACCCCTAACCCCTAAACTTCTATGGAACCCTTTTTGTTGGGGTCACGCCTGAGGCTACAATCCTGATTGCGGCTACTGCCAGGCCAGGAAGTCGGCGCGGCAACCGTAAACCCTGAACCCCTGGGTTAGGGCGGTTAAGGTTCAGGGTTTAGGGTTTAGGGTGTAGGGCTTTAGTGTTTTAGGGTTTAGGGTGTAGGGTTTTAGGGGTTTAGGGTTTAGGGCTTAGGGCTTTAGGGTTTTAGGATTTTAGGGTTTTAGGGTTTAGGATTTAGGGTAGGGGTGTAGGATATATAGGCTACCTGGGCAATGGTGTGTTTTAGGGGTCCTCTCCTACTACAGGAAGGGCCATAAACTACTATTTGCAGGAACGGCCTGTGGGGCGTAAGGCTTACATGGGGTTAAGGGTCCGAAGTTCCAGGTAAACGCCAAAACTCTAAACTCTTCCTTAAACCCTCCCTAAACCCTAAACCAAGCCTTGGCGCTGGTTGCTTCGCGACTGTCTGCGAGCCGCATGCATAAATCCTCCACTGTCTGGCGTGATATTAGAAGTCAAAATGAGTACCACTAATCTTCCTTACGGCTCCTCATTATGGCTACACCATACCCCTGTTCGAATTATTAAGGCCCCTACATTATCGTCGGGGAACTCTGGTCGGCGGTGTTCATCTTAGGACCTCCCAGCCTTGTGTTTTCCCTTTGTGAAGCCTTAGGCTCCTTATACTTAGATGGTCAATGGGAGACCTTTAAGCTTTTTGTCCCTATATATCAGATCTATGTCAAAAAGTTTGAACTTTTTGTTGGCCTGGTTGTTGAAGAACAACAATGACGGATGCACCTGGTGAGGCCGGGAGGACTCCGCCTAGTGGTAGGCCTCTCCCTCCTACGCAGATGACTTCACCCTCATCCTCGACTATCCCCAGGGTGGAGAGGAGGCAGCTGAGGTCTCGTGCAGATGTGGCCTCGGCGACAGACGAGCCGGCGCCGGCGCATTATACGGCTGTGCAGTTGGCGGTGTGCCACCGGGAGATCCCACGAAGCCTGTATTTATTTAACAGCTCTTCCAAGTCTCGGGCGCATGCAAGGCAAAGATTGCAAGCTGGGCTTTGCTCATCTGGATGACGTCCTGCAGCTCCTCGAATGAATGCTCTGTCTATCTATTCTTATAAAAAAAATTGTATTATTTCTTACAATCAGACTGAATTAAACAGGATTCCAA